AGGAATGGACGAGATCCATGAGAAACGCCCTTAGAGCAAAGAGAAAGCTCGGGTTTGTTGACGGAACGTTGGGTAAACCAACAGATGACTCAATCGATATCGAAGATTGGTGGATGGTGAATTCAATGCTGGTTGCATGGATTTTCAATACAATCGAACCAACCTTGTGATCTACTATATCATATATGGAGAGCGTGAAAGACTTGTGGGAGGATCTGCGACAGAGATTTTCTATCGGGAATGGATCTTGAGTCCATCAATTGAAGGCTGATTTGGCTGCTTGTAAACAACAGGGACAAGCAGTGATGGCTTACTACGGGAAGCTGAAGGTCATGAGGGATGAACTAGATGATTATGATCCAGTACCCGCGTGTCGTTGTAGCGGTTGCAGCTGCAAAATTGCGACCATACTTGAAAAGAAGTGAGAAGAAGAGAGGGTACACCAGTTCTTGATGGGCCTTGACGACGCAACTTATGGCACCGTGCGTTCGAATATTTTGAGCATAGAGCCGTTGCCGAGTTTGAACCGTGTCTATGCATTTGTCATTCAAGAGGAAAGGCATCAAAGTATAGCCAAGATCAAAGAAGAACGAAGTGATGCTATGGGTTTTGCGGTACATGTAGGTGCTGGTGCAAAAGCAGCTGCTGCACGTACAAAGGATAAAAGCGTGAGTTGTACACACTGTGGAAAATCCGGACATGAAGGAAATGACTGCTTTCAGGTGATTGGATATCCAGAATGGTGGGGAGATAGACCACACTCAACCGGGAAAGGAGCAGGCCGCAGGCGAAGTGGTTCGGGCATGGGTGCCGGCGGACGAGGACGAGGAAACAAGGCAAGAGCAAACGCTGCCCAAGCAGCGAGAAGTGAGACTGGAGGACAGAAGGTTGGAACCACAAATGATCATGACCGTAGCGGGTTTCCGGGGCTGAGTGGAGATCAATGGACAACACTTCTTAATATTCTGAATTCACATAAATCTGGTGAAAGACTTTCCGGTAAGAAAAATTCTACTGATTGGATAATTGATTCCGGGGCGTCGCACCATATGACTGGAGAAATTGATTTATTGATTGATGTTCGGAATATTACACCGTGTCCGGTGGAACTTCCCAATGTGAAGCAAACTACTGCAGTGAAAGAAAGGACTTTGCATTTGGGTGGAAATATTTATTTACATCATGTATTTTTTGTACCAAGAATGAACTGCAGCCTTATTTCTATAGCTAAATTATTGCAAGAGATAAATTGTACTGTCACTTTTACTAACAAGCTATGCGTGATACGGGACCAAACCTCGAGGACTCTGATTGGAGCGGGTGAGCAGTGTGATGCGGTCTATCATTTTAGAGGAGCAACACCGGTTTAGGCAAATAGAACAAGTGGAATGAGTGAATGGGAGTTGTGGCATCGCAGATTAGGGCATCCGTCTAAACAGATATTATCTCCTCTTCTTAAAGTAGGTAAATTAAACAGTAGACCTAAAAGAGATAAGCCATGTGATGTTTGTTACAGAGCAAAACAAACTAGGGAAGTTTTTCCTGAAAGTAAACATAAAGCTGATGATTGTTTTTTTCTAATTCATTGTGATACATGGGGTGCTTATAAAGTACATGCCTCTTGTGGTGCCGTTTACTTTCTAACCATTGTTGATGATTATTCTCGTGTTGTGTGGGTTTACCTGTTACTTGAAAAAAGTGAAGTAGCACATATTGTTGATAATTTTTGTGCCATGGCAGAACGCCAATTTGGCAAGCAAGTCAGAGTTGTTCGAAGTGATAATGGAATAGAGTTTAAGAGCCTTAAATCATACTTCGAAACTCATGGCATTCTGCATCAAACTTCTTGTGTTGGAACATCCCAACAGAATGGTCGAGTGGAGAGAAAACATAGGCATATTTTGAATGTTGCGAGAGCATTGAGGTTTCAAGCAGGTTTGCCTATTCGTTTTTGGGGGGAGTGTGTCTTGACCATCGGATACTTAATAAATAAGACACCTTCTTTCGTACTTGGCGGGAAGACTCCGTATGAGATACTGTTCGGAATGACACCTCAATACGAGCAAATAAGAGTATCTGGTTGTCTCTGCTATGCTCATTGGAGTCCTCGAGATAAGGATAAGTTTGGAGCGAGGAGTAGGAAGTGTGTTTTTGTAGGCTATCCCTACGGAAAGAAAGGTTGGCACGTATATGATATTGAGAGCGGTGAATATTTCGTCTCCCGCGATGTAGTCTTCCATGAAAATATATTTCCATATGCCAGTGATTTAGAACTAACTCTTGAAGACAATCCCCCCGGCAATTGCGACCGTAGTTGATGATGATGTTTTTCACAGCCCCAGAGGAAATAAAGCCAGGGGGAGTGACGAAGACGATATTTATGCAAATGATAGGGAAAGCTTTCAAAATACTAATAGAAGAGAGAAGGAGCAAGGCAATGGAGGGGGTGTGCAGGAAGTGGAAGTTAATGGCGGAGAAGATGGAATTAGTGTGGATCCAGCACTACAAACAGCACCAGAAGAGCAACTTGGCAGGGGACATCGACATTGCACGCCATCTGTTTTGTTAAAGCCCTACTTAACCTACACTGCTTGATGTTTGAAAGACCCCATTCACACTCAAGCCAACTCTGAATCAAAGTCCTCAAGTACGACTCCCTATCCCATAGGAAATTATGTGACATGTACTAACTTCTCTGCTAGACATCAAGTTTTCTTAGCTGCAGTCACTACAGGAGCCGAGCCTACCAGTTTTTCTGAGGCAGTAAAAAGTGAGAAATGGAGAGAATCCATGAGGAAGGAAATCCAGGCTCTGGAGGATAATGGTACATGGACATTGGAATCCCTACCTCCCGGAAAAAAGGCAATAGGGAGTAAATGGGTTTATAAGATCAAATATAATTCAGATGGGACGATTGAACGGTATAAGGAGCGCCTAGTTATTCTCGGGATTAGACAGGTTGAAGGGTTAGATTACAATGAGACTTTTGCTCCTGTGGCCAAACTGACGACAGTCCGAACCTTCTTAGCCGTGGCGGCCGCTAGGAACTGGGAGTTGCATCAGATGGATGTACATAATGCTTTCTTACATGGGGATTTGAACGAGGAAGTATACATGCAGTTGCCACCAGGTTTTACATCTAAGGATCGAACAAAAGTGTGCAAACTGAAGAAATCTCTCTATGGACTACGCCAAGCTCCCAGATGTTGGTTCTCGAAATTATTAACGGCGTTGATACAGTTCGGGTTTGTTCAATCATATCTTGACTACTCTTTGTTCACCTATTGCAAACACAATGTTCGTTTGCACGTGCTGATATATGTTGATGATCTGATTGTTGGGGGAAATGATACTGTTGCCATTTTAAAATTCAAAAAGTATCTCCATCGATGCTTCCACATGAAAGATTTGGGTCCACTCAAATATTTCCTAGGGATTGAAGTAGTTCGTGGCCCTGAGGGAATATTTTTGTCTCAACGGAAGTATGCCCTAGACATCATCTCGGAATGTGGACTCTTGGGAGCCAAACCAACATCCGTGCCCATTGAGCAGAATCATCATCTTGCATTGGCAAAGGGCGCTCTAATGGAAAATCCGAATCATTATCGACAATTAATGGGACGGTTGATCTACTTAACCATTACACGACCTGCGCTGTGTTATTGTGTTCATATCCTAGCTTAGTTCATGCAAAGTCCACGACAAGAACATTGGGAGGCAGCTTTGCGCGTAGTGCGTTATCTGAAAGGATATCTGGGACAAGGTGTATTGTTTCATTCTGATAGCGATCTGCGTCTATATGCCTATTGCGACTTTGATTGGGCAAGCTGCCCATTGACGCGACGGTCGTTGACTGGCTATTTTGTTCTACTGGGGCAGTCACCGGTTTCTTGGAAAACGAAAAAATAACATACCGTGTCGCGCTCATCTGCAGAAGCCGAATATCGTTCGATGGCTGCGACAAGTTGTGAGCTGAAGTGGATGGTGAAACTTCTTTTGTCTTTTGGGGTGGCGCATGATGAACCTGCACGATTGTATTGTGACAATCAGGCAGCTTTGCACATAGCCACGAATCCAGTGTTCCACGAGTGGACAAAGCATATTGAGGTCGACTATCATTTTGTTCGCGATGAGCTACGACATGGGAACATTGTTACTTGCCATGTTCGAACCACAGAACAGTTGGCTGATATCTTGATGAATGCTCTTGGAAAAGAGAAATTCGCATATTTCCTTGGCAAATTGAGCATTCAGAATCTGCATGCGCCAATTTGAGGGGGAGTATTGGGAAACCTACCTATATTGGAAATCTCCAGTATCCCTGTATTGGAAATCTCCATGTCTCCTTCCTGTGTTGGGAATCTTCTTGCATGCATGTGTAATTGGTAGTTTCCTAGATGTATTTGGATAGTAGTTCCCTAGATTTCTTTGGGAACTTGTAATTAGTAATTTCCTACTGCAACTGAATCTCTTAAATTCAGGTGTAGGAATTGTATATATATAGGATGTATCTTACATAATGAGAAACACAATTTCCACAAGGTTTTACAGCCCATTAACAAATCATATGGAGTCGAATTCAACATAAGGTCCTATGAATGGGTTCAAGAGATATGAAATTCATAACAAATTTCAAAGTTGTGGGGTCTAAAGATGTTCATCAATGTTCCTTTTTCGGTAGATAGAACATAAATGTTCAAATTTAATACTCAATTTTTTTATGGTTTAGTTAAACAACGAAATTTCTAAACTTTGGCTTTATCCCCATATAGAAGCCGCCTCCGGTAAGAACCAATTTGTTAATTTTTTCTACTTTGACTTGGATATTATGGCTACAAAGAAGATTCGCTGGAAGGTCGAAATAGGGGACTTGACTTGTATTCCCACATTTGAGGCCAAGTCTTTGGATGACTCCGAAACTTTTGGTGGTAAATGGTTTGTATTAAATCTCAAATCGCACTGAGGCACTCATCAATTAATCAGCAAGAACGCACTTGACCATGTTTGTTAAGCTTGCAGAATTGTCTCTGCTTCTGCTTTTGGTTGTGTGGTTTGCGGATTCAGAAAATTCTGGTTTCACCTACAATGGCTTCCGAGGTGCTGACTTGAGCATGGATGGTCTTGCACAAATAACACCAAGCGGCCTATTGATGTTAACCAACCGCTCTGCACAGCAGACAGGTCATGCCTTCTATCCCTACCCACTCCAATTCAAGAACCAACCGGACGGTGAAGTCTTCTCTTTCTCTACCAGTTTCGTGTTCGGCATCATCCCTCAGCACGAGTACTCAGATATAGGCGGCAATGGAATGACTTTCGTGATCGCACCATCAAGAGGTCTCCCAGGTTCTCTACCAAGCCAATATCTAGGTCTCTTCAACGGTTCGAACAACGGAAACTCATCTAACCAAGTTGTTGCAGTTGAACTCGACACAATTGATAACATTGAATTTGCTGATATCAATAATAACCATATAGGTATTGACATTAACAACTTAACGTCTGTTGATTCCGCACCGGCGTCTTATTTTACTGATAAAAATGGAGCGCATAAGAACCTAACCCTCAAAAGTGGAAAAGCAATGCAACTGTGGATCGAATATGATGGTTTCAATACTCGAATTAATGTGACATTAGCTCCGATTAATGTGCCTAAACCAGATATCCCACTCTTGTCCGTGGTTTATGATCTTTCTCCGATCATAAAAGACCAAATGTACGTTGGCTTCTCGGCAGCTGTGGCCTCAGTTCTCACATCCCATTACGTGTTAGGATGGAGCTTTAAGATCAATGGTCCAGCCAACAAGCTTACTCTCTCTCAACTTCCTAAGCTTCCTCGAGAAGGACCCAAACAGAAATCTAAGTTTGTCACATTTGGGTTGCCCATTATTGGCCTCGTTTTAATGTCCACCGTGATCGCCGGCATTCTTTTTATATTGAGAAGGAAGAGAAAGTTCGCTGAAGTACATGAGGATTGGGAACTGCAGTATGGGCCTCATAGGTTCAAATTCAAGGATCTCTATATCGCCACCAGAGGATTCAGCGAAAAGGAGCTTCTGGGTATGGGCGGTTCCGGTAGGGTGTACAGAGGCATACTACCCACTTCCAAAGTCGAAGTTGCAGTGAAGAGAGTGTCCCATGAATCAAGACAGGGAATGAAAGAATTTGTTGCCGAGATTGTTAGCATCGGTCGGCTGCGTCACCGGAACTTAATACCACTCTTGGGCTATTGTCGGCGTAAAGGAGAACTTTTCTTGGTCTACGATTACATGCCGAATGGAAGTTTGGACAAGTTCATCTTGGAGCAACCGAAGTCTACACTCAACTGGGGTCAAAGATTTGGAATCATCAAAGGGGTTGCATCCGGGCTGTTTTATCTACACGAAGAATGGGAGAAGATCGTTGTTCACAGAGACGTAAAGTCCAGCAATGTCCTATTAGATAGCGAATTCAATGGTAGATTGGGAGATTTCGGACTGTCGAGGCTATACGATCATGGAACCGATCCACAGACGACGCATGTGGTAGGGACGCTAGGTTATCTTGCACCAGAGATTGCTAGAACTAGTAAGCCAACTCCGAGCACGGATGTGTTTGCTTTTGGGGCGTTTATGCTTGAAGTGGCTTGTGGGAGGAGGCCTATAGAGCCACAAGCATCGGGTGAGGACGTTATTTTGATTGATTGGGTGTTGTCGTTTTGGAGCAGAGGGGCAATTCTTGATGCAGCAGATCCAAAATTGGGTGGTGATTATGTGGTTGAGGAAATGGATTTACTATTGAAGCTTGGCCTTGTTTGCTGTAGCTCAATTCCGAGAGGTAGGCCGACCATGCGTCAAGTATTGGAGTTTCTGAACGGCGATGCCCCTCTTCCGGACCCGTTGTTGGTTAGTGCCAGTGGTCTTATATTTACAGGCGGTGAAGGCTTCAACGAGTTTGCTATCTCGTTGGCAGAGTCTCTCCTCTCCACAGGTCGTTAGTTTAATTAATCAGCATAAGTGGTGGGTTTATCTTGCTTTTCCTTTATAGCTTTCTTTTTAATTTAGTTAATCAGCTTCATATAATGGTTTGAGAATGACGATACCAAATCAATTTATATATATATAGAGACCTGCATAATAATATTGAAGGTGTGTAATTGGCTCAGAGGAACTTCCAGGGCTCAAGCTCAAATAATGGAAAAAAAACATGAATCAATGTTTATATATCGAATACTAACATAAGTTAATAAAAAAGAAAAAACATAAGTTAGGAGGTGCAATCCATTGAAATTTTGGGAACCAATCGGCTTTCGCAAAAGTGGTTATTCATCGGTCAATTTCTGTTCATACGGAATACGGAGATTTAAGTAGCGTTTGTCTGGTCTGGTGACCGTTAAAAAGTCGCTTGTGCATAATTTCCACACGGAACACACGGCTTTAAAAGAAACATTTTTCAATTAATTCGATTAATGATTTGAACTTATTAATCGGGATATTATCTAAAATTTATCATTGTCTTTCTTTTTTTTTTGCATTTATCTTAAATTCATTATGACTTTTCAAAGTGAGTTTTGTTGTCCAAAATTCACCTTCCGTTAGGATTTCTGTTGATCTGGTTAGTGATCATTTAATAGAATTGCCCACATAAACATTTAAGTATTTTTACATGACAAAATTATCTCTTAATGATCGGTCAATCTTATTAAAATGTTGTATGACAAAAATTGGTTTTGTCTATTATGGGCCCGAGACGGGTCAGGGATAATTTTGTTATAAATAGGCTTGATTGATCATTTAAGAGTAGTTTGGTTATACAAAATATTCAAAAGACAACTTCTGTTAATAATCGTTAATAATCACTAACGATGAACAGAAATTTTAAGATATATAAGTTTTAGACATAAAATTCAATGTCAGCGACTTTCTGAAAAGCCATGGTAAGTTTTAGATAATATCTCTTATTAATTAGTATTCAGTTTTATGGGCTTTCACAACAAACAGTCAGTTGGGACTAGAGATGTAGAATTGGGTTAAAAAACATATTTTCATAAAAGAAAGACGGGTCTGATCTGACCCAATGGGTCCAAACCAACCGAACTGATTGGACCAGTTTTGGTTCCAAGATCCATACGAATGGATCGATTCTTATTTTTCATTAATCGTCCGATTATTATCGGTTTGGGACTATTTTTTGTCCCTATCCTAAATTGATTCAAATCTCACCCAAGCTCTAATAAATAATATATTAAATAAACTATATGTGTAATACTTAAATATTACATGACCAAAATGGCTATTTTGGTAAGGTTTCGAAAAAACCCTACCATCCATTGACTATTCCACAGAAAACGAAAAGGGATCTTACTCTTTCTCTTTCACTCTTTCGTTTATCAAAGGCTTCATTAGCTTTTTGGTAAATTATCTACCTAGGTAAATGCATTTATCTTCTTTTATTTCTTAAGTAAATAAGGCAATGACCATTTTAACCATAAATATCTATTATTAAAAGGAGGATTTTTGTCCCATTCAAGTGTTGGTAACCTTTCCCCTAGGTGGCAATAGGTGAGAAAGTTATTTACTTACCTAGGAGATGGGTATCACTTATTCGAGTAAGTGATACCCAAGAAAATAAAATTTCCTAATCCCCACCTAAATCTGAAAAAAGAACATGGGATTCTTAGTCATTGGAAATCAAAATACCATTGACCAACTTTCCCCCTCTCAAAATCCCAAAAAAGAACGCCCCCAAAGTTTAATAGTCTTCTACTCTTCTTTAGTTTTCTTCTCCTTTGAGCAATCCTCAATCGTAACTCTCTTTTCATTTTTCACTTTATTCTCTCCTTGATTTCTTCCTCTAATTTATCCTCTGATCGAAGCAACCTCTCTCTCTCTCTCTCATACCTTCTCTCTTAGAACTTGAACTTGTAAGAGGTCAAGGCCACAAGTAGCGGCAACATCAGAGTTAAAGCTGTGTAGGACCCGGCTAATTAACTCGTCAAACTAGTTCATTCCCATGGCAAAAATTGGGCTGTCGTGTATGCATAACAACTTCCTACTTCACACAATTAAACTGTCACGATCCCAGTTAGGGACTTAACGTGAATTCCGTCTGCTTCGAGGGAGACGAACACCTCCAAGAGATAAAAATCTCAATTATAAAAGACAATTCTTATAATAATTAATTAAGAGGGAAATTACAACTTAAATATACTCTTAGATAATTACTGACTCCTAAAATTAAGTAACAATTTGACCACTTATCCCAACATCAATTAGACCACTCTCCACATAACTTCCCAATGCGACCCAACAATCCTAGACTCAACCTATGACTTTATCCACAAAAATCTCAATAGCCAAACCTTCCACCCCAATGACTCCCCTAAATTTCTTTAATTACTTTGGCCCAAGAGCCCATGTCCGTGACATTCCCACCCCCTTAAAATTGACCTTGTCCACAAGGTCAAGGCTTCAACGAACCAAATACAGCCTTGTAAATCATCTTACTCCCCCATGTTCTTCCCACGACCACATGGTTGAATCCAATCAGTTGTTTTTGTAAATAACTTAGGTGGGATCCTCGATCAATACGTGTAGGTCTCCCATGAACCCAGGCAACACCACCACTAATTGGATTGAGTTTCCCATAGACAATTTCTGTAATTAAATTCCCATAGCATCAATTGTGTATTCAACCCAACGTATGCATGCAATCTGTAGGCCCCAGGAAGGAGGATGACACTTCAAGTAATTGGACTATGTACCCTTCACCATTCAGATTGGATTTGAACTCAAGAAGGAAGTTGAAGAAATCAGTGTTAACTCCTATGACATTGGTATTTCTCATACGCTTCGGACTTGGACTGGGAGATACAACTTCAACAATTGGGACACTAAGGGCAGTAGCATTGTGGACATTATTATGCCCACCACCAAGGCACCAATGAAGCCAACCAATTTTACATGAGTGTAGGCATCTACAACATTTCTAGCATTGAGTTCGTTGCCGTGGTTAACGTGGTTGCGATCCCATTTAACTAACTATCAAAGACAAATTGAAATCACTTGGCACAGAGAACATCTTATAAAATCTGATTTGAGTATCAGGTAAGGGAGCATAGGTAGAGGCATTGATTGGTAACTTGATCGGAGAAACTGTCATAGTTTGCACTGCTTTTGTTGGAGCAGGGATGGCTCTCTTACCAAAAGTAGCTACTTGTTTCTCACTCTCTGCAATGCCATCAAGTACGTACAACACCAATGGTGTTACGGACGAAACTGGTGTACAAATGAATGGAGATTGAACCCGTTTCCCATTGTCCAAGGTGGGCCCCAGGGAATGGCCCCTTCCTCCATCATCTTTGCTACAAAATACATGCAAGTTTCAATCTTGAAGGCCATTTTCTTTTAGTCATTTGAAGCCTTTTCAAACTTCACGGCCTCCCCTATTTTTGAGTTTCGAAACATGGCTTTGGAGATGATCGCGTCAAATCTGTACATGTGCTCATCCTCGTCTCCAACCAATGAACCGGACATTCAGGAACCTGATAAGCTCTTGTTGTAGATCAATGCCTTGGTTCGTCTGGTAATGAGAGATGATGTCGAACCCGTTGTGACTCCATAAGGGTCAGTTCCTTTATAGGATTGAGCTGAGACCCAAGCAGTATTCTCCAACTCACAGAGCTTACTGCTCCCATGGGCTTTTTCTTCAGATAAGAAGGGATAGAAGGGAGGTGAACGATCTAGTCTTGAGCTCCACTGATTGCTGGTAATCACTGTAGTCGCATCTCCTTTAGTTGCCATGGCAGAAACAACCTGTTCACTACTGCAGCAATGGTGTGTGACTTCGCCCTTCTCCTTTGAGTGCAATGACTCCAACTGGTCCAATCTTACTGACAAGATTTTGAACATGTAATTCATCCGCTGTTGGTTAATGGCCAACAATCGGATCTTTCCTTGCACTTGTGCAAGCTGCAAAAAACCAGAAATCATAATCGGCTCTGATACCAAATGTCACGATCCCGGTTAGGGACAAACATGAATTTCGTCTACTTGGAGGGAGACGAACACCTCCAAAGGGATAACTCTCAATTAAGAAAAGATGATTCTCATCATGATTAATTAAGAGGGAAATTACAACTTAAGTAGACTCTTGGATCATAACTGATTCCTAAAAACTTATCTCCTAAAATTAAGTAACAACTTGACCACTTATCCCAACCTCAATTAGACCACTCTCCACATAACTTTTCAATGTGACCCAACAATCCTAGACTCAACCTATGACTTTTAACAGACCCCAAGTAGATATTTATCCACAAAAATCTCAACAACCAAACCTTATTCACCCCAATGACTCCCTTAAATTTCTTTAATTACTTTGGCCCATGGGTCTAGTAGTGGGTCTGTGACATAAACATCTGGGCTGTGTTTGGATTGTGGAAGGGGATCAAGAATGTTATTCTCATTGGGCTTTGTAGCCCATGTTACATACCAAATCAATCAGAAGTAAACATGTTAGCAATCCGTGATCAATTTTACCAGATGTACACCACAATTGATACTCCAATTGCCTCTTGCAATTTGGAGTTAAGTTAATGGATCAGGTTTGGATTGGAACAATCTAAATTAAAACCAATTTTAACAGATTGGATGGTTCAGGCATTGAATTTAATTAGACTGGTCCAAAATGGTCCAGAATATTCATTAGATTGGATTGAACTTGATCCATCTCTAATGGTCTCATATTGGACCGGATTGGATTGGACCAATTACGGTCCAATTGACACCCTAGTCGTGCCTAGGTTCTTCCTTACATGGCAATCCTATTTTCTCCGTTAATGGAAGAGTACAGGCAACAATAACAATGCTTTCCTAGTGCATAAAGAAAAACGATAGATATATTATCTTATTATATTATCAACTTTAAGGTTGATAGAAAAGTAGGATGATACGAAAACAAGAAAGATGGATGGAGAAGATAATAATTTTTCTTAATCTTAAATTCAATAGGT